GATCAGGCCAAAGGCCCATCCAGTCCAACACTCTGTGTCACACAGTGGCCAGAAATACAAGTGCCATCAGGAGGTCCACCAGTGGGGCCAGGACATTAGAAGCCCTCCCACTGTTGACCCCCCCCCAAGCACCAAGAAGACAGAGCATCACTTGCCCCAGAGCCCCTATCTATACCTTGTGGCTAATAGCCACTGATGGACCTCTGCTCCATACGCTTATCTAATTCCCTTTTGAAGCCGTCCATGCTTCAAATTATGACATGGCTTTTATTTTGGAGGTTTTTCTTTGGACCAGCATGGCTACCTGACATGTCTCTTTCAAACTGTCTGTTTTTCACATATTCACACCAATTCTGAGAAGCACTCTAAGTGGCATGTGTGCCTTGAATAGGCAAAGAGAGGTGCCAAGTTTCCAGTTTCAATCCTGCTTGAAAATGGCCTTTTGATATCAAAATCCTTTCACCTTTACTCTGAAGGCAAGGAATGCTGAGAGAAAGGCGGGCAGACATATGTTATTGTTACCAAAAAGGTGTACACATGAAGCTGAATAACACCCTTGGTTTAACAAGATCCGTATTGTCTGCTGTGATGGGCACCAGCTCTATAGGGTTTCAGGGTGTGTTCCACGTCACCAACTACCTTTAAATTAAATTGAACTTGAGACAAATGCATGCAAAGCAGATGTCCTGCCAATGAGCCCCAGCCCTTCCTCAGGCACACATAGAAACATTCTCCTTGTTTTGTCCAATATCCCAAGCCTAAAGCATGCTGTAGAAACAGTCGCTAGAATTCAGCCAAAATCAGCACCAACTCAGATGAAGCCTTGCAAAAACAATAATATACCAGACATTATATACCTGCATGCATGACATATACCTTTAATGACAGAGATATTTTCTACTTTCTCCATTATCGCTCTTGTTGTCTTTGTTCCTGGAGCATAAGCAATTTTAAATTCAGTAAAATTGAAGGAGAGATCATCTAGTTGTCCAAGGTCTGCCTGAGGTATTTCATGCTCTGAATCCATTATGAAGAATACCATCATAAATACATTAAGAAGGAGAAGAAGTGAGGAGAACCATTCCTGAAGATAAAAGAGATGACGATGAACATAACACCCACAATAATTCCTTGGAAGTTTTATGCTATGAGTACATCTTGCCCAGATTATAGGCATACCATTGGGCAGCCATAGTCACTCATGGTGATGGGCACAGATCAGAGGGATTTACTCTGTACCCACTGCATACATATACATTATCATACAGACATGATGGATGCACACAATAATATCAAGCATCACATACACACAAAGTACGAGGGATCTGGGAGAGGTAAAGACACTATATTCATATTATATAAAGAACGGCAAAGCCAGTAGTACCAGCTGTGGCACTGATTTTGTTTTTTATTTCATAAAATTATGTTTTACTTGAACCAAAAATCCTGGTTATAAATAAATATTAAATCAATAGGCCAACAATTTATTTGAGTTAGCACACAAACAAAAAGCCAGTGTAGGAATAAATTAATGTGTTATACTCCAGGAGTGGTCAAAATTATAAACTACATATGCAACTCTTAGAAGATTCAAGAGCCACAAAACATCCATATGCAATTTTTCATCTGTTAACATTTCACTGTGTACAAATAACAAAGCCCTACCTTTACAGGTTCCATCTCTTATTGGGGGAGGGGCTCCCTTGGCGATACCCAATCCCGAATGAAAGAACCACACATGCTACAGATTTGGAAAATAAATGGAGTAAATTGGCCACAACGTTATTGACTACAGCTGTAAGAAGCATTGGCACAGCATGGACCCACTGGATCCCGTGCATCGGCTGCCCCCTTGCCAGCTGATGTAACCCAACACCCAGTCAGCTGGCATGAATAGTGGGTCCGTGAGATGGCAGGTTGCTGGAGCACACATGGATGACTGCCCCTTCATGTTCTCCCCTGCCATCTGGTCATGAGGGTACTTGTTGTTAGTCCTTGAGCAAGCCTGCTCCCTTCATCCCTCATGCCGGAACCCCATGAGGGGTCCCCCCATATCTGGGAAATGGCACGCAGGCCAATTTCTGTAAACAGATTCAGTCCTGTGCTGTTATTGCCACAAGAGCCGGGCAAGACCTCCGAGCCCGGCTCCTGCCAATGCTCCTACAGCTGCAGCCAAGACAGCAGGGCATCTTGAACTCCATTGAGCCCAATATCCATGCTCCATAATGACAGATGTACCCTGCTGGACTGGAACAGGGGCTCCAGTCTATGAAAATGTCCGGGTGGTGAATCCAAATGCCCCCCGTGGCCTCTACAGCCCTGCCTAGCCTGCTGGTCACCTTATGCCTGGTGACATTCACCTTCCCAGGGTGAGTGGCTCCTTGCCAAAAATGGTGCTCCAGCCAGTCTGACCAGATCATAGTCATGTCAGGAAGGTCCTCCCTCAATACTGCCAGATCTGCTGCTGTCTTTGGCCTCAGCACCCCCCATCACATGCCCCTCTGGCTGATCCATTTGACTTGGACGGTTTCCTCCAGTCCTAGGTTCGTGCCCCATCCTGATGATGATGCGTATACTCCTGCCCAATGGTCATTGCTGTGTCCACAAATCCAGACTGCCCTGCGCTGATATCCTGGAACTGAGGGAGGCTGAGTTAACCATTATTGGCTGCAACCTTATGTAGGCTTTGTAGGCCTGGGATCGCCAACACCCGATAGCTTGAATTCTCGTAGGGGAAAACCCTAGCCCGGCGGCAGTGGTGGCTGCCCCGATTCTAAAGAAGTGGGGGCCAAATTCCCGGTGAAGTATCGTTCACCATGGCCCTCAATACAGCTGCAAACTGATACCTGGTCAGCAGCGTCCCGTCCTGGTGGATGAGAAAGGGATCACCCTTATGTGGCCATACCGCTATGAATGCCCTTGTGGCCCTTACGGGGGTAAAGGCCCCAGCTGCAAGTGCATCCCTCACCCAAGCTGGTCTGTCTTAGACCTCCTGATGGACAGGGACAGCCCGGCCAGGCAAAACGAGAAATCTCAGGCTTCCAAGGGATGGTTCGTAAAGGCCTTTGATTTTGCTACCAGTTTCCCCACCCGGAGGGCCCTGAAGAACACCAATATGAAGATGGCTTTGAACAGCGTGGTCTCATAAGGAGACCAGCACAGTACCGGGAGCTTGCGTAATATCTTCAAAAGTGTGCTGAAAGTGACTGGCCTGCGCTGATCAGGTGGCCATGTGGTGAGCCTATGCCACCCTTCGACTGCCCTACAGGCTGCGAAGGAGTTGCATGGGTCAGGAAACCCATGTACCTTGCTGAAAAAGGAAATGGCCACCATGTGCCCCTGTATGGTGTTGTGCGAGAGCCCTAGGTCTCAGAGATGTGCTATGTAGCATAACACCCTGTTGTTTGAAACTAGCAATTTCCCAGGGGCCCCAGACCCCACAGAAAAGGCAAAAAGGCCTCCAACACTTTAGAATATCTCGCACAAGTTGAGTCGCCTGAGGGGGCTACGAGTAGGAATTGTCCAGATAGTGCAAGATACCTGCCCATGTGCAAGATACCTGCCCATGACTTGGCGGCCCATTCTAGAAAAGTACTGAATGTTTCGAAAGCTGCACAACCAACCGAGCAGTCCATGGACATCACATTGTCAAAGTACCAGCTCCCTTGAAATTTGAAACACAGTAAGCAGAAATCCTCCGGGCGTACCGGCAGCAACCAGAAGGTGGACTGTATGTATGTCACACTTGGCCATCAATGCCCCCGTCCCGCAAGCCCTGACCAACCCTACTGCCTGGTCAAATGAGGAGAATCCTATGAAGAAGCTGATGTAATTACCTGTCTCCACTTGGTGCTTTAACATAGTCCGTTTAAAAAAAACCAAAAAAAAAAACCCCTGTAACTTACTCTGGGTAGCTGAAATGTGCTCACTCCACTTTCTAATGGGAATAAATTCCCCAGCAAACTTCCAGGATTGCAAGCCCTTCATAATGAGATGAAAGCATTCACTGCTATCAGAAACTTTCCCCCCAGCATCCAAGCCCCAGAAATATTACCCATGACCATGATGCCTCCATTTTTGTTTCTGGTGTTGTGTGACTGCCCTCCCCAAAGAGCAATGAGGAATGTTCCATTTGAGTGCTTAAGATCACAGAGAAAAATTCCTAACGTGTCCTATGAGTGACGGAGCCAGGTGGCAGGGCAGATGCCTCGTGTGTGTGGAAACAGCTAGGATGATCAGGAAGGTGATATTCTGGACAAAGAGACAAAAGCATCCAGGATCATGGCACTTTCATTTCCAAACAGAAACACACACCGGGGGGGGATCAAAGTGCATGAGAAGCTGGTAGGGTGAGTGGGACAGTGTTCATTGCGAGCAAACGAACGCACCCAGACTATAGGACAGTCACAAAAGAGCTGTGGAAGGGGGAGGGAAAACAAGAGGAGAAACAGAGAGTCTCTCAAAAAGGTTTCGTACTTTGAAAAATAAAAAGGAAGACTCATCATAGCAGCACACCTGCCCCTTTTACAGCCTGTCCTGGGTGGATTGCACTCCATCCTCCAAATGGATCAATCTTAAGTGATTCTTAAATTTAGCAGTTTGCAGAAGGTTCATGTGGCTCAGTCACCATTTTAATGTTAGGCTTCTGGGAACTGCCAAAATGCCCCCCCCCCACTTTGTTCACTGAAGTATGAAAGGGGGAAATGTTTTCGATGCTTTAGGCTTCCCATCCCAGTCTCTCTCTCTCTCTTTACACCTCATGTTAATTCCATTCCGTGCTGACGATTCTCAGCCCCTTTATTTTGTTTGCATGCAGCACTGAAATCCTTTTTTTTTCTTTTGCACCGGGGACGCTGCTGTTTGCCTTCTCTCTGATTTCCCTTTCAAGTCAATACCAGAAGGGAACTAAACTTCATGCAGCTCCTTTTAAACTTCCGCCTGTTTTGTGGCTGTGCCCATCACCCTGTGTAAGAATTCCAAAGGTGCCCACAGGCTCAAAAATATTGGAGACCCCCAGAATAAATCAAGTCAGTTAGACAGTCTTTTTAATTTTGTAATGTGGATCTTAGTTGTTTGATATCTAAAAAGACAAGGCTTAATGTGTTTTGCTGTTTACTGTTAAAAACTATATATTAAACATCGGGTCAGGCCTGTAGTTACAGTGGGGCATTTGGGGGCCTGGCCCCCTGAATTCCTGCCAAGGCCCCCTGACATCCATCCAGCCCCCGGCTGTCTCGGCCACCCAGAGGACTCCCAATTTTCTGGGCCACCTGGAGGACTCCCCCCCACCGCCCCTTCCTCAAGTGTGGCTTGCTTCCCCATGTAGGCAAGCAGAGTGTGAAAGCCGCAAACGTGAGTTTTAAAAATTGTATTTTATTTTTTATTTTGTGACATCAGTGCCCCTTGACTTATTTAAAGGCCCCCTGAATTACAAAATCATGGCTACAGGCCTACATCAGGTTCTCATTCAGAAAGCTGTTGGACTCTTTAGTTCAGAGGGAAAGATCTCTTACTTAACAAGCAATCCACGGTATTGATACCACTGCAGCAGGGTACTGATACCATTTAGGGCTGCCAACATCCAGGTAGGACCTGGAAGTCTCCTAGAATTAGAACTCATCTCCAGATGACAGAGTTCAGTTTCCTTGGAGAAAATGGCTGCTTTGGAGGGGAGGGGACTCTGGAATTATACCCCACTGAGGTCCCTCCCCTCCCTAACCCCTCCCTCTTCAGCTCCCTCCCCCCAAATATCTAGATATTTCCAAATTCAGAGTTGGCAACCCTAATACCATTGCCGCAGGAGTACACAAATAACATGAATGTTATCCTGAGAGAGTGTCAGCAGTGGCTGTGGGTATAAACAAGGTAAAACCAGCAGTCCTACACGTTGGAAAATTATAAGACACCAGTAAATATACATAAGGGCCCCAGATGGATGCTGTAGGAATGCTTTTTTCCTCCTGACATAAACATGGTCTGTTGTTTATAGAGAACAAAACATTGGAAGCCAGACTCTCCTCTTTCTTGTGAATGGTTTCTCATTTTACAACATTCAGACAACAACGGGAAAAGGGAACAACAAAACACAAAGCCAGCAGGTATTATACGAACTTCAGTAAATTTTGAAACATTTAAAAGGAATCCAAATTCAAGAAAAGAAATGCTATACTCATACACTTATTCTCACAATTAGCTCTTTATAC